GGGACTAACAATTAAGATTGTTGAGAGCAAGTTTGTGTTAGTTTTATATGTACAGGTAATCTTCAGTAAAACTACTTCCAATAAAACTACTTGCTCAAAGAAAGGGGGGGAAAAGATGTTGTGCTGATTAGAAGATGCTCCCCGTTGCCTTGGATTTCCTTCCTTGCACCAAAGAGAGAACACTGTCCTATTCTCTCTGCGCATAACTTTGATCCACCTTCCGTCATCACCATCTGTTGTTTTAGTGAACTTTGAGGAGACGGTGCAGTTTAAGCTGCTGTTAGCTTAGGTGTTTTCAGTGTTTATTTAATGCACAGCAGGCCATGCCCACCACCCTGTGTTGGTAAGCTCTCTGTTTTTCACTTTGCACAATTAAAAGAAATGATCACCTGCAGGTGAACCATTGCTTGAATGCCTGTCAATGGGGGTTGCTGGCTGGCTGGGGGGAGAATGCTGGGAGGCTGCGTTCCGCCTCTTTATTCGCTTTTCAACCACTGGGCTAGTTGCACAGCTTTCAGCAAATGAGGAAACAACCAATTATAACGATAAGCTGATTGATGAAAAGGCTTAGGTTGTGTTGCATTTCCCTCAAGGATTAACCCCCCTGCCCTCTTCTGTTACACGCCGTGTTGCCAGCAGCTGTTGCTTCCTCTTCAAAAACAAGTCGATACCCATCACAAGAAGCCCACAAGTCTATTTTTCTTCCCGTGCCCGGTTCGTTTGTCATGGCTTTTTCCCTAAGCAACAGCAGATTTTAGACAGTTTAAGTGAGTTTCGGTTTCATTTATAACTTACAGGAGCCAGTTAATTTTTTTTTTATCGAGGGTGGTTGGTCACCTGCGTAAGGATAAACCTTCTTCCAAAAACTGTGTGTCGTCAGTCATTAAAGTCAGTTAATATCTGTGCATTGCTAGTATTTAAGATTTGAGAGTAGCTCTTCTAATGGAAGAAGGATGACTTGAGCTGAATGCTTAGTAGCACATCTTCTTCTACGAGAGAGGAGGGGCAGCTTCTCACAGTGATGTCTGTAGGGAGGGTCAGAATTGACAAGGTGGCAGACGGGGTGTGTTGAGACGAAAGACCTGCCCGTTTTGTACATGTGCAACCAGCTCCTCAACAAGAAGTAGTAGACCAAAAGAAACTGGAGAACATCAGCTGTCCAATTTCTTTCCATTGTTTCTTAGCCCGTTGTTTTATGCAGGCTTTTGTTATCCTTCAAACGGAATCCATTGTTAGAGGGTATATAATGATTATCTGAAGAGTGTATTTTGAGACTGGAAAGGAATATTCCCAGAGTGAGTTGTTTTAAGGGTTTACCAAAGTGAGTTCGTGAAGGTTCTGTGTTCCTGAGGGAGGTGGCTCTCAAAACACGTCTCACAAAATTTCAATGAATTGCTGTTTTTCCAGCAACCGTCAGAGAATTTTGACTTTGGGGTACTTTCTCCCAATTTTACTTTCTTTATCCTTTATAAAGAAAGCAAAATTTTCTTCAGCGGGGGTACCTCACACCAATGGCTTTTTTTTTTACTTCTAAATGTGCCACAAAGGAAAAAAAACTTCCTTTCTTTCATTTTTCCATGCAGAGTTTTAGGTTTTCCTAATATTTTTGAAAGAGTATAATGTACATGGTGTCAAGGAGCACGCTGGCACCAAAAACATTGGAACAAGCCTGTCAAAGACTGTTTTTTCAAATTGCCATGTTTAACAACAGAAGTAGAACATTCTTAAATACTGTACATAAGGATCAATTGTGTGAACTACATTAAATTAGTGTAATTTAATTTTTAACTACATGAAACCTTGGTTTTGTCCTACCTCACACTCTGTAAGGTACCTAAGCTCTGGTGTATTTATGTCTCTGTGTGTGTCTGTGTGTGTGGGTGTTTTGGAGAGAGACCGGCAGAGCCAGGGGGATGAGTCAAGCAGGGCATCAGTTTAGAGTCTCTACATAGTCACAAGAGGATTAAGTCTAACTCTTCTTGAAAGCTGTTGACCCTTATCTAGGTTCAAACGGTTAGTCTCAGAAAATTCCTGTACATAGGCTTGAGCAATAAATCAGTAATTTTGAGCCCTCATTTGTGGACCTGGTTTTTTGCACCTGAGTCTGTGTTTGTCTATGTGTATCATTGGCATGGACTGTCCAGAGCTGCTCTGGGAGGGAGATGGTGGTTTTTAAATACAACATAAAAATAAATGTATAAAACTGAAGTAATTTCTCTGACCTCTTTTATTAAGATTTCATCGTTAAAATAATGAGATAAAAAAGGCATGTTTCATCTATTCTCATGTTAGAAACATGTTCTAAGGCAGGGGTCTCCAACCTTGGCAACTTTAAGACTTGTGGACTTCAACTCCCAGCCAGCAACTCCCCAAGGATCCCTCATTTTCAGAAGTTGTTTGCCGTTGCCTGCTTCCAAGGGCTGAGAGAAAGTGACTGGCCCAAAGTCATCCAGTTGTCTTTGTGCCTAAGGTGGGAGTCTAACCTGATGCCTTATCCACCATTGGCTCTCATTATGCATACATAGAAATTTTCAAAAAGAGATCATTTAACTTTATATCATGGGGAGGCTTTCAAATCCTGTTGGCTTGGATTCATTAAAGCAATATAACTGGACCAAAGATGTCCAGAGTGTACTTGAACATAAGACCTCTTGAGTTTCCAGAGGAAATACCCAGTATAAATCCAACAATTACAAATAAATAAAATTCAGAACAAACATTTTGAGACCACAGTCTTGTGAGCATGAAATTGCTGTCCAATTTGAAAAAGGTTATTTTGAAGTTGTTGAAAATATTCCAGTGCTGTTTTGCTTGTGTCAGATAACATTGCTTCTTGCAAGTTCAGGACAGTTATTGTAGCCTTAATATGAGGTTTTTTGAACTTGAAATAGGAAATTTCAAGCTTGAAATTATCCCACATTCAAAGCTCATGCACGCCATTGATGAATAAATACTCAAGGTTTTCTGCATGAGTTAGTAAAACTGTCAACTATTTTAATATCAGTTTCTTATATTATTTTTAAGAGAAATATACAAATATTTATGACATCCACAAAACTCTCAATTTTTGCCTTAATTTGACTTTGATTTTTTTTGTCAACTGACTTTAACCTTGTCTCTGTGTCTAAAGGTTAAATCATTTGGTCTAGTTGCCATAATTCAACCTTTAGACATCTTTGACCTGGATGGTTGACTCTTCATTGACATATTTAACCTTGTCTGTTTGACCAGCAGAGTCTGCAAAGTTTCTTTTCCAAGTCTTCCCAGAAGTACTAGGAAATGAAAGGAACAGGATTTGAGGTCTTATTCACATATTTGTGAATCTGTTTGCTAATAACTCTCCTCTTGTTCTACTTTATTACAGGGTAACTATATTTCCATAGATATTAAGTTTAAAACTAACCAAGTTGGACATATTCTCTGACTACAACTGCTGCTTCTTTAACTAATCTAATTAAACATGTTGGACAAACACAACCAGTGGTTTATGTGTGAGATAACTCATAGTACCCAGTTGTAATTTGGAGATTACATGAATGACATTATATGCATCAATAAATCACATGTTAGTGTTCTTCGGTTTAACACTCATGGAAGGGAGAAGATAATAAAAATTTCATTACTAACTTCAGATGGACTCGTACAAATTAATTGAAGGGATTCCTCTGTATGATTAATAATCACCATCTATAATCACTTCACAAACTTACTCAAGTAGGACTCCATTAAATGTATTGCATATTTCACTCAGGAGAAGAATTAATTAAAGTCTGCTTGGAGAGACAGAAATAAGAAATTCTATAATAATAATAATAATAATAATAATAATAATAATGATGATGATGATGATGATGATGATGATGATGATGATGATGATGATGATGATGTAGACAAAAGTTCCTCTGATACTGGATATTTAAAATAACTTCAGAATAATTTAATGAGCATGATAATGGTGAGTAATGATCCACTGTATTAAGTTAGATGCACAGTTAAAACGGATCCATTGAAATCAACTTTGATGTGATTAATTCCATTTGTTTCACTCAGTGGGTTTATTCTGAGTATGGATCCAGTCCTTTCCTTGCTGGAGTGTAATACTGATAGAGATATCAACGTGTCTTGGGATTGTGCAATCACAAATCTTTCAACAGCCTCAAAAACACTGTAGTCAGACCCCAGCTATGTTAAGCGAAAAACTTCTATTACCTTTGGTTATTCCCAGAGAGATTAATTTACTTTGAATTTTCTTACCAGTCCATCAGGTCTTTAACTAAGCAAAGATTACGCCAGTTCAAATCGTGATCCCAATGGTATAACCTTTGAGTCTAACTGAAATTACAGTAGACGATCCATCTTCATTTGTCCCAGCTCAATATATAAAGTCAAATCTTCTTCGGTTGAATTTGAGGTTTCATCAAACATCAAGATGCACCCATGTAATTTTCTTGGAATGTTGTTGATGTCCATCTTAGGAAAATTGTTTTATCAACTTCCCAGTCTATCTCTCCAGTGTCCCTCATCTAAGGACTAAATAAACCATATCAAATGCCCTAATTTATTAGGCCAACTCTATTTACTGGGCCTGTAAATCACTCACTGCAAGGAGGAGGAGGAGGAGGAGGAGGAGGAGGAGGAGGAGGAGGAGGAGGAGATTAATCAGCCACCAAGTTCTTTGACAGCCTGGTTTACTTTCACCACTAACTCTTCCAAGCATAATTGCTTTCTCCAGTGAGTTTCTTTACATGACATAGACAAAATAAGTGAGATGCAGTTTTGTGATTTTGCCTTCCAGTGACATATCTGCTGTTATACACTCCAGTACTTGCTTGTTAGTCACTTTTAGTTAGTACAGGTACTTAGCCCAATAAATTCTTTCAGTGATGTGGGATGACATGAATAGGGAGTCAGCCCAGAAGAGACACCAGGCAACTTTATCTCTACTTTGGAACGACTGAGAGAATGACTTGTGTCCCTACTTCCTCTTTGCTTTTTGAAAGGTTCCTCTCTTGAAAATGGAGGCCTGAATCTTCATACCACTGTGAAACGGAAACTGGAGAGTGAAAAGGGTTACGTCTTCGATAAGAGACTCAGGTACAGCGTGCGTCAGAATGAAAGCAACTGTCGGTTTAGAGACATTGTTGTACGCAAAGAAGATGGATTCACACACATCCTCCTGTCCAGTCAGACCTCAGATAACAATGCACTGACTCCAGAGGTACGCAGGTGAACATCCAATCAAAGAGAACAGTGGGAAGTGATCAATAGCCATAAAAGCATCCCTCTGTTTATAATTTATCCCCTAATGAAATAACTCCCTTGAATTCCATTTCTAATTTTAATTTTGAAGCCTAGAATGGGGGCTACAGGTTTGAAGTACATTCATCACTTTGCCGACGTTTACTTATATTATTGTACCTTTCCCGTCACATTCATATGTAGAGTTGGATTCAGCTCCAGGTATCAAATTATTGAAGTTTCCTATATCTTGGAATTATTATTTTTTTGAGCTTTCATTCTTGGTCAAGGGTACAATCAATCTGAAGGACAGAAATATTTGAGAGAATAGCTGGACGACAAAGAAAAAGTTACTTCTTAGATAATTACAAATTGGACTTACCGTAGTTGAAAGCATGGGTGTCTGTGGAGTTATTATGCAATTAATAATTCTTCTTGAAGAGAAGAAGTTGGGGTAACTTGATAACTGTCTTCTAGTACTTGAGGGGTGTCACAGAGAAGAAGGTCCAACGTATTCTCCAAAGCCTGTGAGGGCAGGACAAGAAGTAATGAGTAGAAGCTTGTTAAAGAGAGATCCAATCTAGAACTAAAGAGAATTTTCCTGACAGTGCAAATAATTAATAATTATTACTTAATAACACTAATTAATAACAAAAAGTCAATGGAATAGCTTGTCTCCCAGAATTGTGGATGCTCCATTGCTGGATGACTGGACAGCCATTTGACTGGGTTAGAATACGGCTCCTGACTTGAGCAGGGGGTTAGACTAGAAGACCTCTGAGGTTCTTCCCAGCCTTATCACTCTATGTACTAATACAAATTACATAATTTGCATGATGATGTGTTATGTATGACATCCCTGAGGCTTCCGCAGGATGTTTCTGCTGGAAATATCAATCAATATAAATAATATTGAGGTACGGCTGCCATTCATCTTCTGTAAAATAAAATATGCAGTTCCTGCATCTGCCTCTTTTGACTGTATTTGCAGGTGTGAAGGATACCGTGCGTGAAATGACACGATGGTCATGTTGAGGGCAAGCTTCCTGTATTACTTTTCTGATTATCAAAATAGCCATACGTGAGCAGAATTTGAGGGTGTTTCAGAGGCATTTTTGTAAATGGGTATTCCCACCAGCAAAGCAGCTGGTGTCTATAGAGACAAAAAGATTTCCAAACACCCTCATCGGCCTTACACCTTCGCAGTTGAAGCTCTTCATTTGGGCTAAGGCCCATTGCTACTAAAAACCACTTCCCAACCTTTACACAGTCCTAGTTAGCAAAGATCAAAGCTTCCTTGAATCCTGCACTTTGCCTCCTCTTCATCTGGGTCACTCTAAGTCAGGGGTAGTCAACCTTGGCTCTTTTATGACTTGTGGACTTCAACTCCCAGAATTCCTGAGCCAGCACAGCTGGCTCAGGAATTCTGGGAGTTGAAGTCCACGAGTCATAAAAGAGCCAAGGTTGACTACCCCTGCTCTAAGTGGTTGCCATTGCTGTGAGGAAACATCTCAAAAGCGGATAAGAAATGTAGATCTGAAAAATGTTTGAGAAAGGCCGGTAGGAAGCAAAGACGATGTTAATCCTGAGTCAGATTTGAAACCACAAAAAAGCCAGGGGTAAATCTCCACGATTCGTGTCAAAGAACTGGACTGTGGTTGTTTCCCTACAGATTATGAAGGAGGTCCGAAGAGCCCTATGCAACGCGTCTGCTGATGACAGCAAGCTCCTGCTGCTCAGTGCCGTAGGCAGTGTATTTTGTAGCGGCTTGGACTATTCCTACCTAATTGGAAGGTTATCCAGCGACCGACGGAAAGAAAGCACCCGGATCGCTGAGGCTATAAGGTGAATTGGGGGTTTTGGAATCCTCCGGTCAGAAAAATCCAGCATATGACAGAGGATATGGTTTTATTTCATTTTAACGTTTGAATTAGGTTGGTTAGGTCAAATGAAAGGGGTATTGATATTTAGATTATTTAAATTTTCTTGATATTTGCTCAGCATGCTTAGCCGGGTTGATGCAAACTGTTCTGATCCAGAGTTAAGATGCTTTGTAAAACCGGGTCAGACAGATAAACTCAATAAGAATGATTGCAAAACAGATATATAATTATTCAGAAATACTTGCATTTATGGTGGTTGCTTCTGGATATTACACATCTGTTCATTTCTATAGGTGAGAAATTAATGCTTCCTCCATACCACTTCTATAACTTGGATTGGACCATCGGAGACATGCCATGACCCCATGCTTTTTCAGACAAAGACATTCCCAACTGGCTCGTGTCCAGGAAGTCCTGCAATGCCCTTTAGAAACTCCTCCCACTAATTTAATTTAATTTAATTTAATTAATTTAATTTAATTTAATTTAATTTAATTAATTTAATTTAATTTAATTTAATTTAATTTAATTTAATTTAATTTAATTTAATTTAATTTAATTTAATTTAATACATTGACTTATATGCCGCCCTTCTCCCCACGGGACTCAGGGCGGCTCACAGCATATTAAAACAACATAGCACATTTCCCCAATAAAAGCCAATTAAAACCAAATATTTGTAGCTGTG